TCCTGCCTGGAGGAGGCCCCTGGCCCTCAGCCCCAGCTGAGAGCACAGGGCAGAGACAGACAAGTGCAGAGGCTCCGAGACTTGAGGTAGGAGTTTGCCTGATGTGCTTGGCTCATTCCGGGAACATCAAGGAGGCCAGTGTGGCTGGAGAACAGTGAGTGAGGGAGCGAAAGAAGATGAGATAAGAAGGCAAGTAAGGTTCTGGAGGAGGTGCAATTATAGGCCATAGTTAGGACTACTTTGAGCTATCTGTTGTTGCAAAACCATCGCACAATTTTGTAGCTTAAAACAACATCATTTTATTATGTCTCAAGATTCGGTGGGTTTACGGAACCACTGGCCTGGTTCTTCTGCTCATGTGACGTCATCTGAGGGCTCAAGTGGGTAACAACATCCAAGATGACTCACTCACATGTCCGGTTCATTAGCCAGCGCTAGCCGTGGGCTGGAAGTTTGGCTGCGGCTGTCAACTGGAGCACCTTCATGTGGCTTGGGCCCCTTCAGGATGGGGACTGGGGTCCAAGAGGGAGCGACCCACAAATGAGGGTTCCAGGGCAGCGAAGAGGAAGCCAGTCCTCTTGAAAGGCTTGTCCAGAGCTGGCGCAGCATCATCACTGTCCATTGGTTAAAGCGGTTGTCGGCCAGGGCAGACTCTAGGGGAGGAGGAAAAATGCCACCTCTGGAAGGGCAGGGGGACCAAGACTCTGTGGCCATCTTTAATCCACCATGTCTTTTCCTTTTACCCTGAGTAAGTTGAGGTGTCATCAGAGGGTTCTGAGCAGGGGACAGAGCTTTAAAGGATCAATCATTGTGGCTGCAGTGTGGGGAAGAGGCCACTGAGGACAAGTGAAAGCACTGGGTGAGTGGGGAGGGATGGGGGTCTGAGATGGCGCCAGCAGGTCCAAAGTAGGGCCCTGACAGCGAGGCTTGTCCCGCTGACCCTGGACTGTCCAATACGGTGGCCACTGACTGCACTGGGATGAACTTAAAAAGTAATTAAAATTAAATACAATTTAGAATTCAGGTTCTTACTCATACTAGCCACTTTTGCAAAGGCGTTATAGCCCAACGTGGCCAGAGGCTTCCCTGGAGGCAGCACTGCTATAGAACATTCCCACCTTTGCAGAAACGTCTATTGGACGGCGCTGGCTTAGACCTTCTCATCTCTTTCAAGTTCTACATCTAAAACCTTGAACTTATAGCATCCCACACTCTGATCTCAGGCTCCCTCCCTTCCCATCCAGCTTTTTTTTTTTGGACTTCCTTGAGCTCCTCAGTCCAGAATCCCTGCATCTTCTCTAGATTCATCTGCTCCCCTCCTGGGCTGCCTTGGCGTCCTTCCCCACCGAGCAAGGATCCTCCCGAGGTTCACTGTGGGATCTGCTCTCTCCCCTGCTCTCTGCATCCCCATCACTCCCTCCTTCTGCCCCGGCCCCCTGCCCGGTCCAGGAGAACCTCACCCAACCCAGGAGCTGGGGTATCAGCTGCCTTCTTCACCCCTGTTTCTCCTGACACAGCCAAAGAAAGCGACAGCCACTCGGGCCACTGTCTCCACAGATCGTGGCCTCAGAGCCATTGGAGCCAGTTCGGAGCATGCCAGGTTGTGACCGAACGACCTCAGCCAAGTGAGGTACCCTCCCAAGACCCAGGGCTTATTATCTGTAAAGTTGGAATTATCACAGCTTCTGCCTCACAAGGTTATTGAGGAGATAAATCCTCCAGGCACAGAGTAAATGCTCAACCAGTTATATTTATCACTGTTATCATCATTATTACCTATTGTTCTGGATCTTCTCCACCTTTTCTAAGAAAGTGTGGTCAGATATACATAACATAAAACTTATCATTAGTGACATTTAGTATATTCACAATGTTGGCCAACTAACACTACTATGTAGTTCTAGAATATTCTTATCACCTTAAAAATCGATTCAGGCAGTACTTCCCATTCTCCCCTTCCCCCAGCTGCCAGGAAGCATTCACCTGTTTTCTGCCTCTACGGATTTTCTGACCGGATATTTCCTGTATATAATCACACCAAAATCACACCAAATGCGGCCTTTTGTGTCTGCTTCATCACCCTTCTCAGGCCTCCTGTTGAACTAAAACCTTTCTTTTTCTTTATAGATAATGGGTCTTGTTTCTCTCAAGAGCATTCAATTTATCCGGAGTCAAGTCACTCAACTTCCCACCTATAAACTAACGTAACATTATTAATGGTAACAACACATTCCAGGTACTTTGCTAAGTGTCTTTCACTCTTTCTAAGCTTCTGAGAGGCATTTCACTCTTTCTAAGCCTCTGAGAGGCAACCACTAATAGGATCTCTATTTCACAATCAGGGAAACTGAGGCTCGGAGCAGATACATCATGTAAGCAGCAGGTGGCAGAACCGAGATTCACACCTGAATCCGTCTGACTCCACAGTTCAGCTCGCAACCAGCACCCTCTGTCTTCTGCCAGTGGCCACTCTCTCTTCCCTCCCCAGGATTCAGCTAGTTTGATATGTAGCAAAGGACACTGGATTCTTCCTGCTCGGGCTCAAGCCTAGCCCCTCTTTCCGTGCCTCTAACCTCGCCCCTGCCCAAGTCCTCCAGAGCCTCATCCATCCCCTCTCTGATACCATCAGAACTGCTGCTGACTCAGATGGCAGTGTGCTGAAATCACCCAGTTGCTTCTTCATTCGCTTGTCCGATGACTGAACTAGGATGACTCGAAGGCCAAGTGCAGCTGAGACTGCGGTGCCTTCCTGTGGGCTCTCCACGTGGTATTGGCTTCCTCACACCCCAGCAGCCTCACAGTAGACAGGCTACTTGCATAAAGCCTCAGGTCTCCAAGAGCTAGAGCTTCCTGGGAAGTGCACCTCCTTCCGTGTCTTAGCCTCGGAAGTCAGGGTGTAGTGCCCACCATACTCTAGCAGTTGCGGCAGTCAGCAGCTCACTCAAGACACGCAGAGGGGGTCCCTCTAGAAGAGAAGTGCTAACGCGTTTGCAGCCATGCTTCACCTGATCCCAGGTTGTCTCCAGTTTGTTGCCATCTCCCTGGTTCATTTTAGCCCCTAACATCTCTTGAACCCATTTCTCTGCAAGCTCGCTGGGCAAGGCGTCATCATCTCTGGACGAGAGTCTCCTTGCAAATCTCTCTGTGGCCATTCTTGAGCTTTCTATCCTGTTCCCCTAAGGGATCAGCAGCCAGAGGGATCTTTTTATTGTTATTTTTCTTAAATCCTCGCCCAGGGATATAGTTTTACTGGTTTTTAGAGAGAGGGGAAGGAAAGGAGAGAGAAACATCGATTGGTTATCTCCCATACTTGCCCTGGCTGGGGATCAGCCCTGCAGCTATGTACCCTGACCAGGAATCGAACCCACAACCTTTTGGTGTACTGGACGATGCTCCAACGCACTGGGAAAACCAGTCAAGGCCAGAGGGACCTTTTGAGTGCAAATCAGTTCACATCCCTCTCCTCTTTACGACCTTCCCATGGAGCTCCACTTCTCTTGGGTTGAAGTCCAAACTCATTATGAGGCCCTGAAGGATCTCTTGCAGCCTGCCTCTCCACTCAAGGCTTATAGTTTGAGATCCATCTCTCTCTCTGTTAAATGAGTAAGTAGTACATATAAAGCACTTAGACAAGCACTTTGCACATAATGAACATCACATAGGGTGGAGCAAAAGTAGGTTTATGAAACACAGTTTATTCTTTTTTTTAAAAAAAGATTTTATTTATCTTTAGAGGGGAAGAGAAGGAGAGAGGGAGAGAGGGAGAGAAATATCAATGTGTGGTTGCCTCTCTTGTATCCCCTGCTGGGAACTGGCCCGCAACCCAGGCATGTGCCCTGACTGGGAATTGAGCCTTGCCCCTTTGGTTCGCAGGCCTGCACTCAATCCACTGAGCTACACCAGCCAGGGTGAAACACAGTTTATTCTTATATTATTATTTACTCATTGTAGTTTTCCATACAAACATTTGCAAATCTACTTTTGCCCCATTCTGTATAATTGATATTATTATTAATCTGTGTTCAGAAAGTATTTATTGAGCTGCCTACTCAATGCCAAGCCCTACGTGAGTCTCGCTATACCACAATGAACAAAAAAGATGTGCAGAGTTCATTCCTCCCCATGTCCCGGCCCCCAGCAGGAAGAGAGACAGAATGGATGCTCAAGACGTGAAGACATGTTTGTGCAGTGGCACCTGATGAAGCCCAGAGAGGTGCACTGACTTTCCCAAGGCCACACAGCAAATGTGGGAAAAAACCAAGGTTGTAGGCACCTGACAAGGACTCTCCAAGGAGAGGGGCCATAGGCACACATTTCCCAGGGCAGAACCAGGGGTAGGTTGGGAAAGCAACAAGGGAGCCTGTCTCATCTGCTCCTTCCTGGGCGAAGCAATCTTTTCCAACACCTCCACCCCAATCCCAACTCCCTTCTCTAGATAAGGGGGTGGGAGGGCTGATCCTTAGCAAGGGGTAGAGGCTCAAAGAGGAAAAAAGAATGGAGAGAGGATGGGGGGGATTCAATGAGAGGGTGGGGTCCTCAGTAAGAGATAAGGGGCCCCGGTAGGGACTCAGTGAGATAGGTGAGGTTTTGTGATGGGTGGGGGCTCAGAGAGAAGGGGTGAGGACGGAAGTCTGTGAAGAGGGTGGGGGCTCAGCGAGGAGATGAGCCTTTGAATACAGGGGTGAGGGCTCCATGAGGGGAATGAGAGACCTGGAGGGGGGCCTAAGGAGACAGTGAGGACATGAAGGCTCAGTGAGGGCATGAAGGCCCAGTGAGGGCCAGGGTCTTCAGTGAGAAGTGCTGCGAGAATCCGGTGAGGAGTTTGAGGGGACTGCATGAGGCGTGAGGTCCAGGGGGTGGGTGGGGTCTCTGCGGGGGGCCTGGACACTCAGAGAGAGAGAAAGGAACTCTGGAAGGGGACAGGGGCTCGCGCTCCTGCAGGGGTCCGCAATCTGCAGAGCTACTCCTTGGGGGGGCCCTTCCACTCCCGACTGCGGCGCAGGCGCGACCGAACCGGTTTTCGCTCTGCTCGCGCTCCTGCTCCGGCTCAGCCGAGACAGCAGGCAGAGAGGTGAGTTGAACCCCGCTTCACGCGCTGCCCGACCCCCACCCGGGCCCCCACCTCTGCCCGAATCCCCCCCCCCAGCCCAGGCTGCGTCCCGCCTCGGGCAGCACTGCAGCGCCCAAGCCTTGGGGTGCCTCGGGCTTTGGGAGGTGGGCTCTCGGTGAAGTAGCAAGGGGCAGCGATCGCACCAGCCGTCACCCCGAGACATCCCTGGGGTGATAGGCTGGGCGGAAGCTTCACAGGACAAGACCTGCGCTCACCTCTCTACTAAAAAGCCATTACCCCACCCACCCCAACTCAGTTTACCTCTAGGGGAAAGGACGCAGTTACTCTCGACCAGAGAACCGAGGTTGGGTCAGAAACATTGGTGCGGTGGGGGGCAGAGGAGTTGGCCTGATTCCTCCGGCCTGGCTCCCAGGAGGGCGCCCCTTCTCCCGGACCGGGCAACGCGAGGCGCTGGAGTGGGCGGGTCTGGGGCTCTGGGAAGAAGAACTGATTGAGGCGGCGCAGAGAGCCGCGATTCCATCCATCTCCTGGCCCTGGCGCCGGTCATCCTCCCCCGGGGGCCTACTCGGCCGCGGAGCCCCCTCTCGGAAGCTGGGCCCCCTCCTCTTCCCGCTCGCTTCCAGGCGAGCTCCTCCCCGCTCCGGCCTCAGGACACCTCCCCAGAGTTCCCGCGGCAAGCCGGGTCCCGGGTACCCGCGCTGGGTCTTCAGCTTCCTCTCCCTCCCTCCTCCGACCGCCAGACCGCCTCCGGGCAACAGGAGAAGGGGAGGGGGAGGGGCTGGGCCGAGGGTGGGGGGGAGGCAGCGTCAAGGTCACCTTCCCTCTTCCTTGCCAGCAGGATTGAGCGATTATGTATATTTGGGGAAGGACAGTGAGTTGCAGGGGAGGAGCTAACCTAGGCCAGCCATCCCTGAACCCTTTCCCTGCCGTCTCCCTTAGGGCCTTTAATTAATGGTGGCTGCCCTATCTCCGACGGTTCGGCCCCATTCATTCTCCCACCCGGGCTCCTCTGCTCTAAAGCCCGGGGCGGTCCCAGCACTGGCCACGCCTCCTCAGAGCTCCGCCCCACCCGCCCTCTCCAACCCTCTCCATCCCCCTTGTCCTTTTTCTCCGCCTTCGCTTTTAGTCTCTGCCTTTTCCCTGTCAATTTTCTCTTTCTTCCTTTTTCTCCTCTTTTTCTACTAAATTGCAGGCGAGGCCTGTGCAGAGCTGTGATTTATAGGCAGGTGTTACCTATGACACAGCTGTGACACGTGTGGTCTCAGGGCGGGGGGCGGGCGCCCAGAATCACCCCAATGAACACTGGCTGTGTGTGCGCCTGCGTGTGTCTGTGTGCATCTGTCTGTTTATGTGTGTTTGTGTTTGCTTCTCTGTGCCGTGTGTGTTTATCTGCATGTGTCTCTGCGTGGTATATGTGTGACTGTCTGGTAAGTCTCTTCGGGGTGTTTGTGTGTCTGTGTTGGTGTGGATCGCAGTGGTGCGTGTGTACCTGTGTCCATCTGTGTACGTTTCTGTTTGGGGGGGGGTTGCTGGTGAGTCTCTCTCTGCAGGGTTTTGAGGGCCGGATCTGATTGGAAGTGAGAGGGGGGCTGGAAATTCATCTTCCCCTTCAGTGTAGAGTCGTTGCTTTATTTTGTCTGAGGGTCGTCACTGAGGTGGGAAGGGGCAGGAGCCTAGTCCTTTCCCAGCACCACCCCACTCCCCGGCTCTGATGCTAGTCCTACCTGAGTGTGGATGTGCAAGTACCTTTCATTCCTGAGACTTGTGGTTCCCTGTGTGAGAAGAGGGGAATCTTAGCTAGGCTTCTCTAGAAATCTAATGCTCTTGACCTCAAGGGCCCCTAATCCCAAGGGCTCCTGACTTTCACTTCCCGTGGAGTCAAGATTCCCTGGGACTTGGAGGTTGTCACCTTTTGAGTGGCAGCCCTGGGGAAAGACCCTTTCAGGCCTGGCAGCTTGGGGAGCTCCGCCTGACTGGACAAGCATCAGCCAGGACAGCTACCCCCAGGAATGTGCTGAAGGGGAGGGAGATCTTCAGGAATGAGGATGAGGGCCTCTCACCCCAGACAGGACTCCAAAAGTACAGGGCGAAAATAACAATGATGAAATTACAGTTATGATAACCATCACAACAGCTACCACTTCTTCTGGGGCTGGAAGACACAATAACTGTACAAAGCAAGGTGTGATCATTAGCCCTGATTTACAGATGAGGAAACTGAGGCTAAAGGAGGTGAAAGCACTTGTCTAAGGCCACATGGTCAGGAAGTAATGGGTCTGGGATTCCAGTCCAGACAGCAAGGCTCCAGAATCCACTGTCCCAGCCACTGAGTGGCCTCCAGAGCAAACACACACCTCTACTGACATCTATGATAGCTAGGTACTGGGCTACGCACTTCAGTGCACTGGCTCATTCACAGTAGACCAGGGAAAGCCAGGCCGGGATTCCAGAAGGCCAGGCTGTGGGGCTCTGAGTGTGGGGTGTCTGAAGCAGGGGACGTGGGTGGCACATGAAGATTTAGGAGCCTGGAAGGGTCTCCATGGGCAGCTCTCACTGACCCTTCCCTCTGTTGGCTGAACCCTGCCTGCCCCGCAGGAATCCAAGATGCCAAGCTATGACCGTTCCTGTGGATGTAGCCGGGGCCCCAACGTGGAAGATGGCAAGTGGTATGGGGTCCGTTCCTATCTGCACCTCTTCTATGAGGACTGTGCAGGTACCGCCCTCAGCGATGACCCCGAGGGGCCTCCTGTTCTGTGTCCCCGTCGACCCTGGCCCTCACTGTGCTGGAAGGTAAGCCCAGAGGAGGAGGGACTCTGATGATTTCCTGTGGCTTCAAGGAAGAGGAGGACTCAGTGGAGAGGAAGAAAAGGGACAGTGCAGGAGTTAGGAGTCTTGCACATTCAAGCAATAGAAAACCCAACTCAGGTTTACACAATGAAGGGAAAATATCGCTTATTTTACAGAAGAGGCCGGAGGTTGTGTGCTTTCAGGCAAGGTTTGATCCAGCAGTTCAAACCCTCACACTGAGGACTAGAGATTTCTTAGTCTTCAGGCTTCCCATGGGCTCCCTCCCTGCAGCCCCTGTTAGCTTCGGGTTCTTCCCACATGTTCCCCAGCTGGCCGCTGCTATGCTGACTCTCAGTCTTCCACTCCACACCATCCAAGGGAAACCCCGCAGTATTTCCTTCAGAAAAGAAACAATGCTTTTTATTTCTGGAAGTCCTGGCAAGTGTTGCATTGGCTCTGATTGGCTCAATTGCCCAGCCCTGAAGTAATAACTGTGGCCAGGGGGATGGTTTATGCTGACTGGCAGGGATGGGCGTTCCTCCCACTTAAATATTACTGTGCTTTCCGATGACTTACTGGGGTACTTCTGTCAGGGCAGTGGAAGACGTGAGAGAAACAATGTTCACATCAGCCTGGGAGAGTGGCCAGCCAGGGTGCACCATGTGGGCAGAGGTGTGGAGGTGGCAGCGAGCCCAGTCCCTGCAGCGGGCACGGCTCTTTGATAAACTGTGCAGGGTGAGCTCGCAACCTCAGCAGGTGTGCAGAGGATGCCGGGAGCAGAAATGATCTCAGTGCTCCCTGGGGTGGTCAGGGAAGACTTCCAGGACAAGGTCAATGAGTATTTGACTTTTATTTTATTTTATTTATTTATTTTTAGAGAGAGGGGAAGGGAGGGAGAGAGGAAAAGAAACATCAGTGTGTGGCTGCCTCTCCCGTGCCCCCGACTGGGGACCTGGCCCGCAACTCAGGTATATGTCCCGACTAGGAATCGAAACTTCGACCCTTTGGTTCATGGCCTGTGCTCAATCCACTGAGGCACACCAGCCAGGGTGTATTTGATGTTTTTAAAGTGTCTTCCAGCCAGGCCATGTGCTAGGCTCTTTGGGACACAGAATTGAAGACGTGGTTCCTGTCCTCCAGAAGCTCCTACCTGTGGTTCATTTAATTATTCTGCAAGCACCCCTGGGGCTACCATGCTGTCGTAGTTCAGGGCTAGGCATGGAACACACCTAGTGAGCCAAAATGGACACAGTCTCTGCTCTCACGGCTCTCTCTGCTCTCAGTCCGGTGGGACATCACTTACACAGTAACCAAACTCACACCCTAGTATACACCAGGGTGAGTGCACTGGAGAATGAATGGGCACAGAGTCTGCATAGAGCGTAAGTGACACTCGGTTCAGGGGTGTCCTGGAAGGCTTCCCTAAGGAGGTGAGGTTTAAGGTGCAATCTCAGGGATGCGTAGGAGTTAACCACACAGAGATATAGAGGGTAGATGGCACAAAGGGACAAGACAGGATTCAAGTAATGATGGGGGGTTCAAGATTGGCAAGAGAAATCCCCTGCCAGGTGGGAGCTGGGAAGGAAATTAAACAAGAGGCCCCAAGATTCCAAGCAGAATCAGTGTGTGTCCCATGTCAGTTAGACCCTAGCGGGTGTGTTCTGTGGCTCACATCTCTTAAGGTAGACTAAGGGGTCACCTTTAAGTCCAGTTGGGACCCAAGATGATCCCTTGGCCAAGGGGTTGACCCTGATTGCTTCCCAATCTGCCCACCTCTCTCCAGATCAGCTTGTCCTCGGGGACCCTGCTTCTGCTACTGGGTGTGGCAGCCCTGACCACAGGCTATGCGGTGCCCCCGAAGCTGGAGGGCATTGGAGAGGGCGAGTTCCTGGTGCTGGATCAGCGCGCAGCCGACTACAACCAGGCCCTAGGCACGTGCCGCCTGGCAGGCACAGCGCTCTGCGTGGCAGCCGGTGTCCTGCTGGCCATCTGCCTGTTCTGGGCAATGACCGGCTGGCTGAGCCAGGACAGCAAGGCAGAACCCTTGGACACGGAAGCTGACAGCCACGTGGAGGTCTTCGGGGACGAGTCGGAGCAGCAGCTGTCTCCCATCTTCTGCGAGGCCAGTGGCCAGGCTTGGTTCTCGCCGCCCGCCAGCCCCTTTGGGAAATCCTCTGTGCAGACCATCCAGCCCAAGTGGGACTCCTGAGCTGCCCACATGGCCAAAGGAGGCACCCAGCCCAGGGTCTGGGCCCTTCCTCCTCCTGCCGCACCCAGCCCTCCCATTGTCTCCTTGACTTCTCCCTGTCAGCCGGGACCCTCCTTTTTATGCTGCCAGAAGGCTCAACTCCAGGTCGGAAAGCCTGGAGCTCGTATCCTCATACCCATTCCCAGGGGATGGGGCCCCAACCCGTCCCAGATGCCAATCTTTCCCAAGTCCACTCAAAACTTCCCAGCCACCCCTCCTTCCCCAGGCCCTTCAGAGGCAGGAAGCATCTCCCCCAACCTGTCCTTACTCTTCTCTCTCTGGGACCTTGGCCAACCCCCTACCCTTTCAACCCATGTTCCTGCCTCTGTATTATAAGGGGTTTGGACCAGATCCTTGAGTTCCATGACTTTCCTATTCTCCCTTGATGTAAGTGTTTCCCCCTACAGGCAAAAATGGGTGGGGGTGGGGTGGCAGGGTCATTCTCCTCCCTTGACCCCCGCCCTCTGTCAGCTGCACCAGGATGCCTCAGGACGGGTCAAAGATGCTCATTGGACTTCCTGTCCAGGGTGGCGCACAACCATTTAGCCCCCAGAGTGTGTTTTCTTCATGCACTTTGGCATTCGAGCCCCTCCGTCCATCCCATCCTGGGCTGTTCCTAGCCCCAGTGCACAGACGAGGCAGCTGGGTGAGGCTGGCGGTCTGCTGACTCCTCCCAGGCCAGCTCTTTTAAAAATATATATTTTTTAAAACATTTTACTTATTTATTTTTTTGAATTTATTTTTAGACAGAGGGGAAGGGGAAGAGAAAGAGAAGGAGAGAAATGTCAGTGTGTGGTTGCCTCTCACACGCTCTTCACCGGGGACCTGGCCCACCACCCAGGCATGTGCCCCCATCGGGAATCAACCCAGCAACCCTTTGGTTCACAGGCCCATGCTCAATCCACTGAGCTACACCAGCCAGGGCTTTTAAAAATATTTTTAAATTTTCATTATTGATTTGAGAGAGAGAGAGCGGAAAGGAAAGAGAGTCATTGATTTGCTGTTCTACCTATTTATGCACTCATCGGTTGATTCTTGTGTGTGCCCTGGTCAGAGACGGAACCCGTAACTGTGGCGTATTGGGACGAGGCTGTTAGGGTCCAACCAACTGAGCTGCCCTCGCAGGGCTGGGCCAGCTCTTGTTCCACAGCTGAGGCAGGGCCCTGCACCTTCTTGGCTTTCATGGGACTCGCAGGGGCTGGGGCCAGGCTTGGCCCAGGGAGACTAGCTGGAAGCCTGATGATCCAAGTGGCTCAGAAAATACCTTGAACGTGTACTTAAATGGTCTGTAAGAGCTAGGAGCAGCAGACCTAGGATGGCTTTGTCTCTCCAAGCCCCCACCCAGAAACGCTCACTCACAGGTGACGCATCGGCTTCATTCTCTAACACTAGGGGGCGCTCCAAGATAGCGGAAAAGAGCCATCTATGCCGCACCCCTATTCCCGGGCTCTGTGTCGTCCCCAGCCTTGAGGGGTCCCTTTGGGTGGGGTGGGAGTCCCTCAGTTCTCTCCTACCAGGCAGGCCCTACTGCCCTTATGCCCCAGGCCACCTCTCCATTCTGCACCTCTTCCATCCCACCTACCCATTCAATAAACAGCTGGGGTGGGTACTGACTTGGCTTCTTTTCTTCCTGACCGCTGGGGCTTGGGGAGGGAGGAAGGAGGCTGCCACCCGTGCTGGGCACTTAAATCCATTGTTTCTCATTTGCTCCTCACGAGGAAGGAAATTATTATCTTCGTTTTACAGATGAAGTAACTAATGGTCAGAGAAGTGAAACCACTTGCCTAGGCTTCCAGAGGGTAGATTTAAATGCCTGCCTGTTGGGAAAGAGATTTCTCTGCCATCTTGAGGACCTACTGCCCCACCAGCCCCGAGAGAGAGAGAGAGAGAGAGAGAGAGAGAGAGAGAGAGAGAGAGGGCAAGGATGGTTTATTTTGGGGCGGGAGCTGGAGCCAAAAGTGGGATCTTCAGAGTCAAGAAGAACAGCTCACCCCTGTTGGCGCTTGCCCCGGCCCAGGCTCTGTTCTCAGTGTTTTATAGATCCCACCATGTGCTGCCCACACCTTAGAGAATGGCAGTGCCGGCCTCCTGGTTACCCCCCTGGCAAAACCACGGAGTCATGTTTGCCTCCTCTCTTTCCTCACCGCCTGAATCCAATCCACTGGCAAATCCTGTTAACTCAACCTTGGAAATTCGTCCTGTACCCAACCACTGCTCACCACACACACAGGTAGCCACCAGGCCTGAGCCACGGCCAGCCCTCATCTGGACTATTGCATCAGCTCCTTCCCGGTCTCCCTGCTTCGGGCCTCTCCTTCCCCCAAGTCCAGTCTGGACAGAGCAGCCAGATAAACCCTGTTCTATAAGTTAGGCCACACCCTCCTCTGCTCTGCACCAGCTCAGGGCCCCCACCTCACTCATCTTAACAGCCCAAATCTCCCAGACTTTGAGCCTCCGGGACTGTGAGAGAATACATGTTTGTTTTGTTTTAAGTCACGTGGTATGGGGTGCTCGGTACAGCAGCCTTAGCGAGCAGGCTGTGAACTGGTGGGTCTGCAAGGGAGGCGGTGTGGCGACGTCAAAATGGGAAACAAGCACGCCCTTTGGTCCCTCCCTCCTGTGGGTAAATCTGTAGGTTCCCTGATACATGCTGGAACTTGGGACACAGCAGCACTGTTCGTGACAGAAAACACCTGGGAACACCTAAATGTTCATTGATAGGGACTAGGCAGTAAATCATGGCAGTTGCACAGGGGAGCACTATGTCAAAGGATGAAAAAGCTCCTTGTGTGCTGATCTCCACCGGTCTCCAAGTTACACTGTCAGGTGAAAAGGTGCAAGGTGCAGAACACTATGAACAGTTAAACCGTCTGTCCAGGAAGATGTATGGGTTTCCCTGGTGCGTGTGTACAGTCTCTATTGCCTTTGGTTGTCTTTGGGGAGGGGACCAGGGTCAGGGTGGCTGGGGACAGGGGTGGGGGAGAGGCCTGCACTCATTTTGAATTTTGAACCATGTGGGGGTATTTTGTCTAAAAACATAATTAACTTTTTAAATTTTTATTTCATTTTCACTGTTGTTCAAGTATAGTTTTCTGTCTTTTACGCCCATCCCATCCCCCCAGCCCTCATAATTAACTTTTTAAAAATAATGTAATTGACTAAACACATTTAGTAAGTCGGGGAGAAGGGACTTCCCTTACAGAAGGATTTCCATCAATAGACACAGAAGGATTGAGAGAAATAGAAAAATGCCCAGCGTACCACAGTAGTGATTGTTGCAGGCAAAATCCACCTGCAAATGCTAAATGGCATGGGCGAAACTTGCAGGTGAAAGAGGGTATCTGCATAATCTCCCCTCCAAATACTCATTAATTAATATCTGTGGTGACTTGAACCTGCGTCCACAAGTTCTTTGATGCTCTGCCCTGCAGATGATGAGGCTTGGTTCCCGTCTCCTTGAGTGTGAGCTGTGCTCAGCAACTTACTCCCAAAAAACAGAAGGTGGAAGGGGAAAGAGACCCACAGTGGAGACATCTGCCAGGCACTACCTGAACCAATGGCGAAAATCGGGCTGATACCGCGGAACCCTGAATGATGTGAGACCTGTACTTCACTTGTGTGGTTCTCTCCCTGCCAAATCCATGCTTCGGCCCAGCCATGAGAAGACCCAAATTAAAGAATGCTACAAAACCCCACCAACACTCTCTATAAATGTCAAGGTCACAAAAGACAAAGAAAGGCCGAGAAACTCACCGACTAAAGGAGAGCATCCAGGAGGGCATCTAGGAACTGTCTGGACTCTTTGCAACTCTTCTGTAAATCTAAAATGATTTCCAAGAGAAAGCCAAAGCAATAATAAAGTTGTTCTGGCCAAGATGGAGTAACCGGAATCAGTTTCACGTTCCCACCGGAAACAACCAAAGAATGAACCAGGAAGTAAACGAAAGAGAGGAGCCCTGCAATCAGCACGGGAGACCTCCCTGAGTTTCCAGCCTGCGGCATGGATTTCAATACTTCTCAATACACGATGAAACTGTAGACAAAATCAGTACGGGTGGGGAAGGTCTGACCAGCACTATCACCCATCTTGGCCTAATGCCACCCAACAAGCACAGAATACACCAGGCCTTGGGCTTCGGTGGCTTCTGGAGACCCAAGGGGCACGTGGGAGGACTAAACAGACACAGAGCCCAGACCTGCCCCTGGGCACCCTCTGGGGCAGCTCAGCAGATTGACAGCTTCACCTACCTCAGTGGGGAGGTCTCTTCCCTCTATCCTGCAGTCCCTCCCCTCTCCAAGGTGGGGAGACCTGGGAGAAGAAGGAGAAGGAGAGGGGTGTCCACCTTTGCTCCACTTCTGCCAGGGCCTGAACGCCCTCCCCCACACCACCCAGAGGCTGCCCCTCCTTCCCGCTGAGTCATGCACTTCCTCCCTCACCCCGGCTGACCACGAGACCAGCCTCAGAGAAGCTCCTCCACCTCACCCCCAACTGGGCCAAAGAAGGGTGACCTGGTGCCATTGCCTGGCCTCTGGGGACACTGTGTCCAGGCTGGGAGCTGAGACGCTCCACTGTGAGAAGGAGAAATACAGGGATATTCATGGGGGCGGGGGTGGAGAGAGAGAGAGAGAGTCGGATAGGGAGTCCGAGAGGCAGAGGGTCTGCAACACTCATGGCCCAAACTCTTCATCCCAAATCTCATGTCAGGCAGTCAGCCAGGTTCAAGCCACTCTGAGCCTGGGAAATTTTTTAACCAATCTGAGTCTCACTTTCTTCATCTCTAACATAGGCCCAACAAGGACACCAAGCTCTTGAGACTGTCTGAAGACCTAACGAGCTTAACACTGTGCCTGGCACATAGAAGTGCCCATGAAATGCTAGCTATTGTCACGAAGGAGGAGAAATCCGAGGTTCAGGATGAGCGGGCGATGCGCAGGTTGTAACTGAAGATGGCAGACTCGGCCCTGCCCACCGGGGGCTTCCAGTCTAGTGGAAAGAACAGTCTGGTGGAGAGGCAGTCGCTGGTGATGAGCTGGGAGGAGGGGGGTGCTGTAATAGAAGATCATGTCATGTGTCACAGGGACAGATGCAGGGAGATTCAGCGGGATGGCACTTCTCTGCGCCAGCTCTATTGTCCGTCCTTTACATAAACTGATTCTGTTAGTCTTCACAGCCACAAGGTGGTTATCACGATCTCCAACTCACAGGATGGGAAAGTGAGCACCGAAGGTGTAAGCATCCTGACGAAGGTTGCACGGGTGAGATTTGAGCCCAAACTATCCAGGTTGAGATGCCCAGACGCCTGGCATCCATAGACACAGAGGCAATGCCAGTCCCCACAGATTCTACCAACTAACCTGATCGGCGATGGTTCTCACGGACATAGGCAAGCACGTGCTCATCCACCCAGATAAACACCAGCTCCTGCCCTGGCTGGTGTAGCTCAGTGGATTGAGCACAGGCCTGGGAACCAAAGGATTGTGGTTCGATTCCCAGTCAGGGCACATGCCTGGGTTGCAGGCCAGTTCTCAGCAGGGGACACACAAGAGGCAACCATACATTGATATTTCTCTCCCTCTCTCCTTCCCTTCCCCTCTAAAGATAAATTAATAAAATCTTTAAAAAAAACCAACACCAGCTCCTGCCTATGACGAGAGCTCAGCGAACTCTCTGGAAAGCCACCTACGGGTGTGCGTTGTTGGGAAAAAACAACCCGCCCAAACACCTCACAGATACCTGTGTCCATATGTAAATCAGTGGACTCATGTAGGAGTCCTTGAATAAACACGTTACATGCGTAGATGTGCACCGGTGTGCATGTGCACACCACCAGGCATGTACATTATGGCGATGACGTGTGTCTCCAGACACGCGGAAACAGGGTGCATGTGCACTCACTGTGCTATGGATTTTGTTTCAGCAGCTGCACCTATGGAGTATCTCTTATGTGAGAACAAAGAAAGATAAGGCTCAGAGAAGCAAAGCAGCTTGCCCAAGGTCACACAGCTAGTGAACAGCAGGGCTTAGGCCCTGGTCCCGCGATATCAGGAAGTGCAGTCTGTCTCTGTCGCTGTGCAGTCGTGTTCATGAGTGGACAGAGGTGCCACGGCTGGGATCCCACACTGACGTTTCCTGTGACCTTGGACACACGACATCCTCTTCCTGGCCATATTCTCACATGCCTGCTCACAGGTGTGCTCCGTGGGGGTGTGCTTATCTGAGGCTCTGGCCTCGCTCCAAGTCAGCCTGGGCTGGTGTCACCGAGGGCTGTGAGCTTCCTCTCCCGCCCTGCCAGGCCCCAGAGCATATGACCGAAAGCCAAGCCCTGGACATCACGAGCCTGGAGATGAAAGAACTCAGGATTTCATCAGCACATGTGGTCAGAGCAGGAAGGAAAAGGAGGAGAACGGAATAGCCACTGGGGCGTGTACTTGGCAGGGTCCACAGGCCAGGTGTGGCAGGGGGAGAGCTGCCGAGACTGGGCATCTAATGGGGCACTCAGCAGATGCCCGCTGGTTGGGTGGGGGGCGGGGGGAGCAGGATTGATTGCAGCACTGCCCCCTGCTGACCCCGGGGGCAGAGTGACCGAGAGAGTGAGTGAAGGAAGGGTAAGACGGTA